GGCAGGGGAATCTAAACGCTAAACCCGAAACCGGTGCCTCGGCGCTGACCTTTGCCCGGCGCTGTGGGGGCTTCCCTCCTTCCCTCACCAGTTCCCCTGGCAAAAGCTGCTCTGTCAGCCTTTACAAGGCCGTGGCTGCCGGCTTCACCCGCACCCCAGGCTTCACCCACACCACGGGCCACCCTTCAGCCTCCTGCTGCCCAGAAAGGCGAAGGCTGCAGCTCGCTGGAGATCGGTGGTGGAGGCAGCTCCAAGCAGCCCAGCCTCGTGTCCCAGCCCTGCATCGCGTCCCGTCCCCAGCCTCGCGTCCCGGCCCGCATTCCAGCCCCGAGGTTCCCACGTCTGCTTCCAGCATGCGCGAGCATTGCCGAAACCCTTCTGCGCTGAACACCTCTCAGAGGTTCACTGGGCAGACGTGGTGGCTCTGCTCTGCTGGCTGCCGGGGCTCCAGCAAGCAGCTCTCGAACACATCCTTAAACGTGCACTGCAAACACCGCCGTGTCCAACGCCGGGCATGGTGTGGGAGAAGGCCCCCCGGGAGTGGGGGGAGCTGCCCACCAGCCCTGCTTCCCCTGCTCCCTGCTGCAGCTGCCAGACGTACGCTGGACCTGGTCGTCAGCTCTCCCGAACTCCCAGGAGGTGCCCCAGGTCTGCCCGCCCAAGAAGCGTCTGCTCCGAAAGGACTTTTAGCTAGACTGTGGGGCCCTCAGCCCTGTCGGTGTGGGGCAGTGATGGACACAGGGCCTCACGGTAGGTGTCCTGGCCGCCCAAGACCTCCCAGCCACCTTAAAGCATGAGTAGATTGTGAGCATTGCGCTGTTCTTCTCCGCTCTAATGTAATTAATGACACAAAATTATGTTGGTTTTTTTTAATGTTCCCATTGAGACACACTGTGTGCGGCCTCAGTGCAGGAAAGCCAGTGGAGGGAGCGGGAAGAGAAGTGGTGGAACCCTGTTACCACCTTCTGACAGCTCCAAACACAGCTTTCTGCAGGGTGCAACCATGAGATCTGTGAGCGGGGTTTGGAGAGACCACGCTGGCTGCTCACGCTCTTC